GTTTCCAGTAATAAGAGGCCCAGGGTCTAATGCCTGCTCAGAGAGAATGTCCGCATGACCGATGTAGTAAGRTATCTTCCCTTTTGGCGGATTCTGGGCAGTACTTTCAAACACAGCCTTGGCTTCCTCAGTTGTGGGCCGCTTGAACTCAGCAGTGAAAGCTGACCAATCGATCAAAGGTTGGTTCTTCGGCTTGCCGGCATAGATCGACACGTATCTCTCGCCTTCTCGGCCCGCTTTGTATTCCATGGTTGTACATCTCCAGTCTCCTGTGTCGATGCATTTTTTCACATCTTCCAATTCAACATCAACATGGGGAACCGAGATGTGTTGTGCACATCCTTGGGCTTCTAATTCCTGAATCTTGGAAATAAGTCTTGCCTTATCGGCGAGCGATAGAGTGGGTAATCTGCTTTGAAGTCCAGTATCCTGTTGGTCGGTATCTCCTTGGACATCGGTGTCATCTGCTGCCGGTGATTGGCGGGAACCAGGAGAATTAGCCTCGTCGTTAGTTATATGGCCCTGAGGCGTCTGAGGGGCAGAATTAGCTTCAATATCGACCACAGAATCTGCCATGCTGATTGTCTCGTTGGCTGCAGGACCCTGTGGCGGTCGGATGATATTCGTCTCAGCTGGTGTTGCGTTAAGGCCTCCAGCCGGACAGTATCGTGATTGGTCATCATCTGTACTCTCAACGCCCGACATGGCAGTATCTTGCTCACAAGCACCAGTGGAGCTGTCTGGCCATGTGATGCGAGTCGAAACAGAGCCAGCTGGTGACCTGTCCACGGTGGAAGCACGTGATTCGCTCACAGCCGTGTAGCTGCCCGTGGACGAGCTCTCGGCTCTTATATTCAAGCTGACCCATTGACTTGGTCTTGGTGTACTTGGCTCTGGGGTTGTGCGATGGGCCGTGTCGTCATCGTTGCCCTCGAGTGAATGCGATGGTGCCAACCCGTCAGCACTTTCGCTCTCACCCATGATTACGTCCTCTGATTCGACGGGCTGTTGGCCCTCCGGCATATTTGGAAAGGCTTCGGGTAGGGCTTGTGTATCCACGGCTTCACCAACGCCTTCGAATTGGACGGCCACATCCTCTGACCCGACGGTCGGCTGGTCGTCTGATGTCGGTGATGAATCTTCACTTGCCTGAGATTGGGACGACCTCTCTTGCTCGGGGATTCCGATTCGTGCAGTGGTTGCGACTGCGCCAGTATCTGGTCGAGTGTCCATCTGTAGACCGTTCGTCGCTTCTTTCATGACTTGTTCATTGGCGCTGTCTTGAGCTTCGGCATCATTCGTTATTGCTTCCAACTTAACCTTTAAACTATTCAAGTCACGCAAGACTGCCACCAGTATATCGTAAGCCGATTTCTCGTGTTGCTTAGCTATTTGCTCGGTCGACTGGGTTTCCGTTGGCATGGAAGCCTGGGAAGGCGGTTTTGACTGGAAACGCGTTTGCCTCCTTGACTGGGAACGCGGTGGACACTTTATTTGAGAAATATCAGAAGCGAGCGTGCAATGTACTGCACTGAAGTCTGAAGCAAGCTCCTCCAGTCGCTCGACTAATGAGTTGGGTTTTGGCATAGGAGGGTTAGACGTGGACATTGTGTTGCTGAGATGAGCTGGTCTGTGTAAAGCGGATGTGACCTGGCGTTGATGGCGGTCTTTTAACGGGAGCACTACGCTACTTATGTACCCATTGCTTAAGATAAGGGGATCCGAGCGCGCGGGGATGCTCGGACCAACCGGTACGCACGGTGCTGCGGTGCGGGGCCATCAGGTCAGGTGCTGCGCCACGGCGTTGTGGCGGGTGATATGATTGCTGATATTTACTACAGAAACGCCACAATCTTACATGAAAAGGAGAGAATACATCATCAACCCCGCGACAATCAGAATCAACCCCGCGATAATCAATTTTAACAGCTCATCCAGCTCTTCTTTCAATAGTTCTCGACCGGCTCCTTCAACATCATTTCCTGCTTTACAGGTGGTATTGTGGTCTTGCATTTTGTTGGGTTTGACTGGGATCGAGGAGGAGTCTAGAAAGGGTATTAGAGAGCTGTCAGGTATAGATCATATTGGAGTGAAGAATTCACCAGTGGGTAGATGTATTTTGAAATAGTAGAAGGTATTGAAAGAGGAGAAGATATTGAAAGTGAGGTTTATCTGCTAAATCGCACCATTGATCTCAGTATCCCAGGCTCCTTATATGCCCAGATCTCACCGCCAGAGCCTCATTCACAGTCAGGCTCTGCAGCCACATCACTCTTCCCCCAGAGGCTGCAGATCAAGGGCCTGCATATCCATGGAACTGCATCGAGAATACCAGGGTCTTACCGCCAGATGCTACCTTGCATTGAGTTTTGGTGACAACACGATTTAATCACGCCTGGAGTGAGAGTCGAAAAGGACACCGGACCCTGCTGCACCTGCAGCCACCATATCACAGCTAATGCCAGCAGGGGACACCGCGCTCTGGCCGAGGCCAACAAGACTTTCAGGGGTTCCTGAACATGAGGCTATATATCCATGTAATTACTCTGCAACGAGTGAGCAGACCAGCTAACTACGGCCTCGCAACTCCAAAGGAAGTACATAAACTTGTGACTTAGATCCAAGCCATGCAGAAGCAATCCGACGATGGCCCTGAAAGCCCTATTGTTTATTACGCCACAGATTACCGGAAAAGTATCCCAAAGGGTAAGTTCTACATACTGATTCCAATCTCAGAGTATATCTAAAAAGTCAAAAGACCCAATCAAAGGACAAGAATATCAGAATGTACGCACGACTCTCGATAATTACAAAAAAATAGTTCCAACAGGAACTCGCTTCTTCAAGCTATCTCCAAACGAGCTTAGTAGTCTTCGGCACAATGGAAATTTCAAGACAATTCCATGGTTTTTGGGAGATGGATATATGTTGTACAAAGTCCTGTAGCTTGCACTTCCTATCTGGTTCTACAGCAGCAGGAACCTGGACCCTGGAAACATGCTCTCATCTGAGATAAGAGGACAAGGCTTCTGAGTTACTATTGCAAGAACACCACCAAATAGAGCGTATTGAGATAAGACCCCAAATGCCAATGTGATACTTTAGTATGATACTTTATTAGGAGGGCATGAATGCCCATGTTGAGACAACTATCCAAGTGTTCTTGTTAGTACGAACGTAGAATGGCCCCCGCGCCGACAGGAATGGTGATCATATCTACAATGGTTAGGCTTTCCTCATATCTTCAGATTTTTCTCTTCACTCCTTACTACGTAGAGCAGTTATGATTAATACTTCAACACCGATGTCCACATTTTGCCCCTTAGTGTTACTTGTTTCTATGCATAAAAAAGCTCCCCGTAATAGTACCAAATTTCCTTGTTTCCCTCTGCCATTTGTCTCGCCGCCAGCCACTAACATGGATCTCTGCCCGTGATGCCTCAGTTTGAGTGATACTTGTTCGAGCCCACAGAGCTAACGAACTTTCAGGGGTTCCCGACCATGAGGCTGCATATCACCACTAACACCTCAGATGCATTGTGCATTTGCTGTCTGCAGCCATATCACACCACCTACTTCAATGCCAACTGTCAAGGACTGCTAAGTGCAACCAACAGTACCCCATTACTGCGGCAACATCAAATGGCGCACGTTTGGCAGCGAAGTCCACCCCCCTCTCGGGTTCGAAGCATTAAGCCCAAAGTACATATGCTTCATTTCGTCAAATAGTCCAATGATGACATCCTCACCTCGAGGAACAATATGCGAGTTTGTGGCATCCCTGCATGACACAAGTGCCATGCAGCTGTTCTCCCGCAGGTCCCTGCGGGAAATAGGTTCTTGAACAATGTCTGTAGATAGCCACTTGAACTGGTTGATGCTGTGCAGGGTTTCGATACGATGGTGCAACCTTCGAGGCAAAGGGAAGCTTTTCCCATGAAGAACACCTCGCTTCTCTAGGCTCTGTTAATCTCACTCTTGTTCTGCATATATATTTGCCTACCAAGCTCATCAAATACTTCTTTAGTCATAAGAGTGAACGCCATTTTGGATCGAATCTTTAGCAACACGCTTGAGATACTACTGGTTGAGAGAATGATGTAGATACGCATCACAGCACATCAGTTGTGGCAACGCCTTTCTATTGTAGACGTGCGGCCCCCGCACCACAGAGTCGAGTGGCCGAAGGGCCAAGGGCTATCAACGGCGGCGTTTTCCCCCGCTCTGACAAGGATGTGTCCGAGCTATCAGCGGTAGGGTTGTAAGCCAGCAAGGGCGTGGAACGACGTGCGTGTCCGAGGGGGTGTGCAAGAACTCTTGGTTCAGTGTTCTTGGTTTAGTGTCCTCTCTCAGCTGCAAACCTCGTCATCTCCCACGGCAGCATGGTTGCTTGTTCCATGTTTCAGCAGCTCCAGGTCAATGGAGCATCTGTCACAAATACTGGCCATCCCCCGACCATCTCCTCTCCTCTTGACCTTCCTCCAACTTCTCCTCGCCGTCACGAATGACAGGCGATTTGCATTATGAATCCCCTTCATAATCCTGCTGTTCGGTGTGACATCGAACGGCAGATAATCACCATTAACCTTCTTTCATTCCTTGGTCCCGATTCAGACTCAATTCACCCCCTTATCGGCTTGATGAAGTCTGATCCTTACAACTTTGCTGTCTATATTCGGAACGAGATGTACCTCGAGATGGGTACTCCCCTTCAAAAGAGAGGATGCACGAACGCCGATCTCCAGAACGACATTGAAGTCTTCCGGCTGAAACGGGCATCTCGCCAGGGCAACCTCTTCTTGACCTTGCCCCCAAAGCAGCCAGAAGCAGTCTCTGTGGAATCATATGTTCTTCATGCCATAAAGCGTCGACTTGACCTTCATATATTCAACCCTTGGGCTGACACGACAACAAAGCTTATCGTGGCTTGTGGCGTTGCCTTGTCACAACGAGGCCAACTCATTGCCTACGACCAAAAAGCTTCACTTGCCGATCACTGCTGGCAAGTGCTTGATGACCTGGAGACATCTCCGTGTGCTACTAGCCTGCCAAACAACGAGCTGAAGGATATCATCATTGTCATGAAGCGCAACTCGGACGTCCGATTTGAAAATATCAACAAACAACTCTCAGACATGCGTGCACACCTCGCTGTAATTGAGAATCAACAAAACCAAGTTCTTATAATGTTGGCCAATCTCTGCAACAAGGAGGGTTCCGTCGACTATTGCGAAGAAACGGCTGAAATTGACCCAGATGATTGCCAACAAGTTCCTGTTGGCCAGTTACTCCATAAGATCTCATTGGGATTTTCGAATTCGAGCGACCACGAAGCTCCGCCCATGGAGCGCACTCCAATTGAACAGCCAGCCAAGTTCGACTGATCATACTGCAATACACTATCTCCACTTTCTCAACTCCTGGCGGCAGGAACTACCCGAAGCTGGTGCTAGCTAATAATTTGGACGTGGAGAGCAAATATTCTTTTCTTTTATATGGAGGGTTCAGGTTTTGTTATTTCCTTCATGCCAGTCTTTACTGCGACTATATAACTCCTTTGTTGATCTATCTATCATTCTTGTTTAATTCTTGCTAGCTTTGATGTAGCTTGTAATTTTTTATGAATTGAATAATTCCACGGAGCGAATAGTAAGACATGATGGTCCATTTTCCCTTTCCTCTTTTTCTCGAGGAATGCAAAGCCGGCAAAGCCCGTATTTACTGCCTATATCTGACATGCGCATTTTGCAATCCAGGCACCACTTCGAACGTACGCGATTCTCGCGCCGCTGGAGCCTTTCCCGTCTCTCAATTTTGAATTGTTTGAGTTCTTTGTCATACGATTGGAGGTTGTCATCAGGTTGGAGAAGTATTTCCTTGTCTTCTTTTGGTTGTTGAAGCCTCTTTTGTGAATCGGATTGCAGATACGTAGTCGAACTTCTCTTCCGTAGTAAAGGGGCTGGCTGCAAGGTGTCCATTGTTTTAAGCGTGTGAAAGAAAGGATGGTTTTGTGAAGACAGGAAGTTTGATAATTTGTCTTTCTTGACATGAAATTGCGAGCTTTAAATTACCAATTGGGCTGTGCAAGGTCGGCACAGATGCAGCTGGCAGTATGCACACTCCCAGATCATCCAGTGAGGGCCAGAGCGGCAGTGCTGGCAGACCCACTGGACTAAAGTGGTATCTGACTTGACCATTTGGAACTGGTGAGCGCAAGCGTTGGCCATCGTAGCCTATCATGGTTTAGAATCACGGAGGATGTACTAGTTAGCAACCATGACTTACCTTGCGTATGAGAAAAGAGGCGCATACATAATGATTCAAGGGGGATAACCTGGGTGTTAAATGTTTCTCTCGGACTTGATCAACTCCGAGTCATGGCCTGGAGAATTCACCGATGGTCTAATATGAAGAAGGTTTGCACAAGCACGAAGAATCGAAGGTTGTAACAGGGTTTATTTGCCAGGATTTCCACGCTTAAGTGGCGTGGATGCCGTTGTCTCATCTACTAAAGGCAACCCATGGGTCCTTTATGCCCTCCGACCCGTCCAGGGGATCCACAGGAATCGGTATTGTTGGTAACCTCATTTTTACAAGTGGACGGCTAGCCCCTCCCCGCAAGCACCTTTCATCAACTATAACCCCAGTAAGTATGATTTTACTAGCACCCTTAACGGCAACAACATCCGTTTCTAAATTCCCGATATCACAAAACTCATTCGTTGCCTTGTTAAATCCCTTAATTTTGAAATAAGGACAGGAATAGAGATTATAGGTGCAGTGGTTCTCGGAGTCTTGTATCTCAGCATGGCCATAAGTAATGTTTCTGTTTTTGGTCCAGGTTTGAGGATCATGCACCATGAGGTAAATGTGGTAAACCTTCCATGGGCTTAGTTCAGTGATGTTTGCGTCTTGATGTTGTTAGTACAGGGCATCCCGGACGCGTACATTGCATACCGTCTAGTTGCTTTCTGGTCTTCTTTAACACAAAATAGAGATTATAAACCAACGCTGACATGGCAATCACGGAAGATAGTAAGGCTGCCGCACAAATGGATAGCGCAAGAACGGCCCCTCTCATGATGGTCTAGGTCTTGGTGGAGGCTTTGGACAGCCTGTTGTGTCGTATGCGCCGCGACTCGAGTCTTGCTGGGTCTCAGAGGAGATCATGAAGTGGCTGTTCGGAAAGGGAGGCTTGAATTGCTGGGTGCTTTGCGAACCAGTGTCGGTGAGGCCTGCAAGCAGTTGCCTTGTTGAGGCTGCACATTCCTTTAAGTAGTTGTCGTCGTTGCAAGTAGTGTTAACTCCAAGCACACCCCCTCCCCTGCTGTTTTAGGGTGGGGGCTTGCGTTCTGTCACAGAGCAAGCTAGTCTTCTTTGGGATCACGATTTGACGTGATCCAAATCTAGAAGCTAAGATCGCTGATCCTTATTTCATCTTACCTCATGCCTCACACCTCATGCCTCAATCCTCATGTCTCAATCCTCATCCCTCACAACTCACACCTCATTGCCTCCAGACCTTTACCTCATTCATCATAGTCCCAACCTAGCACTTCCTGTCGCGGAGAAACACTCATTTCCAACTGCCTCACTTACTCGTACTCATACAGTTAGTTCTATGTATGATGAGTCGGGAATTCCCCTCCCTTGGCCCGGAACAGGGTTCCGTCATCCAATTTCAGCTTCAAGTCTCCCAACCGGACTGTCGATCACGACGACAGCCACGAGACAGGCACTTCGAGGTGTTAGGGGAGCGTTTACCCAATTCTGAGGACGAATGGCAAAAGGCCCGAACACGTCTCCGGTTTACAACTCCAGCTGACATCAATGCATGGGTTTCGGACCTTGTGTCCCTGGATCGCGCCTTGCCTCAAAATTTACGCAAGTTGATCAGCCTTGCGATCTTTTGCGTGGAAAGGCGCAAAGATGAGGATACGGCCCATCGTAACTATGAGGCACGTACCTCTCAGCAATGTTTGGTCAGAACTATCCGCAATTACGCGTCTCTTGTACGAGGCGTGATTGCTTTGATGGATCAAATTTACCTGAAGCTACGCCATCGGGCCTTTGAAGCTGTTCTGCTTTATTGTAAGTGATGAGTGTAGACTATTCTTTCATTGCTAAAAGTGAATAGCACCTTTGGATTATGCGTCTCTGGTGTCTTACAAAAGAGAGCCAGATCGTTTCAAGTCATACTTTCGGGACGTGAAAATCCTCCCTGAGGAGCATGCATCACAAGCCCTATATCTTCCATTTCTCGTTGCATATGGACACCCACAATATAAGTACAATGAGATTTGCAGAGCTCTTGGTACCAACACTCTCAAAGAGACAGAGTTCCTCAAATTTGTTTCCGTGAGGGAGAGCGGAAAGCCAGTGCCCCATATACTTAACGCTCCCCCGAAGAACCGCTACGACGCAATCCGAAATAGATGGACTCGAGATAGTCTGATTGAACACTTGAATACCGAGGAAATTTATGCGATTCCTAACCGTTTGGATGGCTATAAACGCTTTGACCTCCCAGATATAATTCAGCAAAAGGCAGCTATGGCAGCCAGCGAGCAGGACGGCTGTGTACCCCAGGATATTCCAGGGGTGATAAGCTTCAGGTTTGATTGGACTGTATGCCATGATGATGTCGGTCGCCTGGTCCTTGGGCTGTTGGTAAGTAGACTGTGAGAGGCTGAGAGCTGAGCTGATTTTTAAGGTCGAACTTGGCCTTATCAGCCAAGGGCAGATACACCTAAGCAGGAACTCTGTACGACATGACAGCGGCCCAATTACTGTTCGCTCAAATTGGTTGAAGATTATCATACCTACTGCCCCAACTGCTGAGCCAGTAGTTATGTCACTTAGCAGCAAGAGCTTCCGAGAAGACGTTGCATGGGATATTAAATCAGGCTTTCTGCTTGGGTCAGGCATAACACACTCGCCATCAAGTACCATTCATTATATTTCAGTGTCTATTCCTACTTTGAAGAGCTAGCAGAATCGATTGTGTACCCTGTCTTATCTACGTAGACGACATCCACCTTTGCCCCTTGCTCCTCTGTGACGGGGTCATTTTCCTCCATCTCGGGGGTTCCTTTGCTTGTAAGAATCGACGAACGAAAGGAAAGGCCACGGGACTTACCTGATGTATTGTCACTTGACGTACTCGAAGTACTTGTATCTTGGCTATCTCCAGCCTCTTGCGGCTGGTCCCTTTCGTTTGGAGTGTATGGCATATTGATGTGTTTAATGATGCGGAATGCGATTCATGTAGAATTGGCCTTGAACACACCTTCAGGATAACCCATCTCTTATAAGTAAATACCAAGAGAACGTTTTTCTTTCTTGCATTACAAGTAGCCTCGCAAAGGGTCTCAAAGTCGGGCTTGCATGAAGCGGCCTGCACTTGAGGGACCTACCGGGATTATTACTAGCTGCATAATGGGCTGGTGATCCTGAGTATTAGAAGGGCTAAGACGTGGTCATGATGTTGGGAAGGGTAGAAAGACTAGCCATAAGGCATAAGGATAAGGTATAAGGCATGAGGTAGAAGGCATGAGGTATAAGACAGGAGGTTCAAGGCATGAGGTAGAAGGCATGAGGTAGATGGCATGAGGTATAAGGTGATCTTTTATCGATAAGCTGATAGACTGATAAGATAAGAAACATCTCGGATCACGTGATTATGAGGCTGCCTTGCCATCATGCATTTCGGGCACTAACTCCGTCGTTCTTTAACATCTCAGGAACAATGTCGTCAGATATCGCTCATGCCACTGAAGAAATATCAGCAGAAGGTTTCTCGGTGCACCCAGATGCGCGTATTGGTGCTCTAGTTCAAGACATCATTAACAAAAAGTATGATTTCTACTCGGAGGAGGGACGCTGCCTTTTTAGAGGAGTACTGCAAAATGATGTGAGTAAGGCTATTCTTGGGGCAGACTGCATCTAACCCATACCAGCTCGTTTCCAACGTTATCAAACCACTCCTGCGGGAACCGACCTTTATATTCTGCCGAGTATTTGGCAAAACTCGATCCAAACATTGTATCGTGAACCGAAAAGACGATGCGCGAATGCGAATTGTGACCGTTTTCTGTTGGTCGAGTGAATCTAAGGCTGCTTTCTACTCTGGTTCACATCTTCACCATCTGGGAGCAACGGAGGCATCAAACACACTATTGAGAGTATCCGATCACGCTCTGCAGCATGACGACATAAACATGCGCTCTTGTGACGTAGATGCTGGCGGTTTGTAAGTCAGGATTTGCTACAAATGGTCGTGGTGACTGACGAATTCAGAGCGTTAGTTGATGCCCGATGCGCTTGGCAGATAACGAATGGAATATGTATAATGATCGGAATTGCTTGCGGCGATGAAGCACCGTTTTGGAAACCAATGCCTTTCCCATCTACAATGCAGGATGACATAACACAGATGATGGCTGGGACGATTTTCGCAATCCGAGCAAGATTCAATCGGGCAATCAAGACCCCAAACCATATTATTACAGCCGCGGTAGAAGAAGAGGAAGCGAAAACAAGACCTCGAGCCGACGACCGAGCCGACAACATCACCAGCGATCAGGGTGCCATTGTGCCGAACCTACACAATTGAGACCACTTGCATATTAACAGAGCGCAAAAGAACGTCAATCGAATCTGCTCGTCCCAAACGACTGTGAAACTAAATCCAGAAATTCCTGATGGTCTATACCCGAAGGGCCATCTAGCGTATAAAAGTTGCTGAATGGAGCTCGCTCGGGAACGTCTTGACTTTGATCCACGCCTGAGAAATCTTCACCGCTATAGTCATTGCTGAACTGAGCTGGAACTGGGACGGTGGAGGAGACATCATGACGCTGGGGAAAACATTGACTTTCAGAGATAACGTGCAAACTGGAAATATCACGGGCCGGACAGTTTGATAAACCATCTTCATTTTGTTCTTCCTGATTGACACTGGCCAATATTTGGGACCCATTGTTGAGCTTTGACGCCTTGTGAGGTGGTGGCGAAGCTTCTGCCACGTTCTTGGGTCGTGGCCGCTTTTTGCTGCGTCTCTTGGGCCTTCCACGAGGAGCCAAACTATCATGAGACGAGAGAGTTTCGCGGGCCTTTCGGAGAGCGGACCTCCACTCTTGTCTAGCCATAGCGAGATCGACATGTTTTCGGGGCTTCAGACATTCTTTAATATGACGTTGTCGATCATACTGCCACAAAATGTCTTCTTTACAAATTCCGCACTTTTCACCACATTTCATATCTGTATCATGAGTCAAATCATGCTTGGAAGGGCCTATGGTGAAACCAACGCTTAGTGTAATGCCGTGAGAAGTTGTCCTGTCGATTGTAAAGTTGCCCAGTACCCTCGCAATCTGGGTGCGGACAAGTCATTCCTTCCAACTCTATCGGTTGCTCGTCTCGCTCGCCCTGCTCGTCGTCGGTCGATATCGAGCTTGGTGACGCTTCTATATTCGTTTGGGAAATGGCGGGTTGAAGCTGCTGCAGAAGCTGCAAGATAAGAGATTGTGTTTGTTGCATGTCATCTCGAATCTGTTTGCAGCAAGACTCAAATTGTTGTTTGGAATGCGCTAAATCCTGTTGGAGTGACTGTATCTGACTCTCGTATAGGGTTAGAATACTTGAATTGATATATCACGGCTCACTTACAATGATACCGGCCACGTCAGGCGAGCTTGTCGCGTGCATGTGGCTCGTCATAATTGGAGAAAAACAAGTGCAAGTTTGAGATGGAGAAGGTTTGACAAGTGGCAAACCACTAAAACTGCTGTCACGTGGGATTACCCCTCATATGTGTGAAATCTATAACTGCCCGCGCTATTCTTGCTGTTTCCCCTCACCATGACCCCTACGACTTACTTCTACCGACTTTATCTACTTTGAATCCTTTCCATTCGCTCACAGCCATGCCCGAGGCCAATAACAAATGTACACTCTGCGGCGGCTCAGGCAAGATAGCAGGCACTACGTTCGATTGTGGTGCTTGTGACGGCACTGGGGATAAGCGACCATGATTGCTCTTATTCACTCAATGCTCTGCTAAGAAAGGTTTATATTAAGTGCTTATTCCTTAATTATATATAATAGTTAAGGAGGCTTCTTACTAACTCTCTCTCTATATGTATAGGGCTTTTATATATTACATTTTCTAACTATTTAAATAACATTAATTAAATTATTAAATAGAATAAATTCTTGCTTATTTAATACCTAAATATACCTTATTGCTATACTCTATAACTATCTCTACCTCACGCCTCACGCCTCACGCCTCACACCTCACGCCTGACGCCTCACGCCTCACGCCTGACGCCTCACGTCTCACGCCTCACGCCTCATGCCTCACGCCTTACTGCCCTACAGTAATAGTCTACTATAAGAAAATCCATTATACCATTCTGTTTTTCCTGCTACAAATAACAAAATGACACCTCTTACGGAGCCTGAACAATCCCTCTTATATATTTCTGTCTTTAAGACTTTTATCTTACCAATTTTTCCCATTGTTTCCATTCAGGATATCGATTCATTTTGGCACAGATGGATGAGCTCTGAGTCGACGTGCATTGAGCTAGTCTGCTTGTCTCTTATAATAGAAACTGGCAGTTTGATATCAGCTCTCCAAAGACAAGCCAACACAGGACAAACCATTTTGCACTCACAAATTCGATCCAGGAGGATTGCAGATGCCGCTAGATATATTCGCATCGAGGAGCAACACGACTTAAGCTTTACTCAAGCTTGCCTATTGATGTGTGTTTTTCTTCGACATATCGCCCAAAGCGGAGAAGAATACCTCCTTAAAGCTAGTCATTCCCTCAAGAATATCTTGAGCACCCCTGGATTGTTTCAAAATCACAGCGAAAGTGTCACTCTCATGTGGTTGAGTTGGGCATGTCTAGCTTTGTAAGTAATGAGGCCAACAACTACGTGTCTCTGCTAAGAACTAGTGAAACCCCCCAAAAAGGAGTTCTTGAGCCATTCATGTCTGCATCACAACTACAAAACTTCCCCTTAAGCCCACGTTTACATGAATTATTTGGGACATCATTTGCCATTACACAGAGACGTCGCCTGCAATGGCTTGGAGAACATATCAATAAATCTTGGACTCCAGACAACTTTGACACTCAGACATTTGATATAAGGCTGAATTGTTATCTTAATGCTGAGTTAAGAAAGTCCAAGATTGTACTGCCTCATACGATGAGCAGACATGAGTTCAATGGTGCTCATAAGAGTTTTATGTTAGCTGCACAAGCTCTAGATGCAGGAGACAGAATCCGAAATCTAAAATTGTAAGTCTACAAATTCAAAACATATCCTTGTTATATCTAATATTTGTCAGTGAAGCTCATAGCGCTTTAACAATATCAAGTAAGATCGACTATCAGGAGTGGATTGAGGTATCAAGACCAACCCTATGTGCCCTATATTTACTCTTTTCGTTTTCAACAGAACTTGAGATGTTATACCAGGAGTTTTCTGCTCATTTGATGCCAATGGTGCCATCTGTACTTGCTAGTCATCTAGACTGGGATGGAGAATTTACAGTGGAAAGCTAGGCTTTGGTAATATATTAGGACTTAAGTAAATAAGGCAACTGCATTGTGGCAAACTTCCTACTGTTACTCTCATCTCTACAAATTACATGCCCCCTACCTATTTAAGCATATGCATGCCGGGTAGTATCAAATGATACCATTGGCCAGGAGCAGGTGTAAATGCCCAAACTATTGCTTAACACCTTCCGGCTACAGCCCGATATACCGTTAGGTATCTGGTAACGATATTAGCACGTCTCGGATCAACGGAAGTGCCTCTGTGTTGTCCCTCTGTTAGTGATGTCAATTAAGCGGTGACACAAGGCTCTGCGGGGTGGGTGCATGCATCGTGAGAGCTTATCAGCATGCGAGCTCACTCTACGCATGACTCCTTGCAACCAACAACCCATTCATGGTTAAGTGACAGCTCTACTTGATTACATTGAGCCTTTCCCCATTTGTGTTCTATGGCGTATTGGACAATGCTTTGGTTGCACTGCATCATGTAATGCAGGTCAAGAAATGGGCTGTCCCTGCGAACTTAGAAGCACACCCCCTCCAGTATACTTGCTTACATCCATAATATGCACCCACGGGTCATGAGACAAAGCAAACGCCTTGCATGGTAGATATTGCATTTATCCCCTCAAGTTAGGCAACCATTCTGACTCAACAGTTCCCTGCTCGGCTACAAATATCCGGGCAATGACATGGGCTTCTCTGGGATATTTAAGATCCATTCATGTCGCCCTTGAGCCTGGCATCTAAGCTCGCATTCAAACCAACGTTCTGCTATATCTTGAATCAATTCAACTTTCAAAATGGCCGCCATCGAATTCGCTTCTGTCCCTGGGCTTCACGTTACCCCAACCCTTGATGACCTGAGAGACTCTGCTCAGTGGTGGGTGCTCATCCTGAAACATCGGGCCTTGAGCTAACGACATCAGCTGGAACAGTCTTCCCGAGTCCCGGGATCAGCCAGAGGTTCCCGGCCATCACTTCAGTATGCTGGCAGAGATCTTGGAGCGCCATGGTATGAAGAAGATGTTGTCTTTTCACCTCATCCATCGACATGACCTCGTCGATGATGGCAAAGTCATGATGACGAGCAATCTCAACATTCTCATCGGAAAATGGATTCGCCCGGTGGATATCCATAACCTTAACCTAACCGACACTCATGGCTATCTCTTCAAGCTGAGCTCTGATGGCAGTCCCCGAGCCTACAAGTATAGAGAAGGATCTCTGCCTGACCTGGCAGGTGTCTCACCCGATTTCCTTTCCGAGCTGAACCAATACCTCCAGGGTAATCAGTTAGGCGACCTTCTGGCGCTTGGGGTCACCGATGGTATGGAAGGCCTGGTCGAGTTTGACCTTGGCCATAACGGAACTGTCCTGCTCAAACAGGAGCAGGCAAATTATGGCAAGCTTGTCAAGGAAACAGGGTTCATTTATCATGAGGGGGGAGATGGAATTAGACAGCTTAAGGGCAATGAGCAGCATGCTGAGACAACCACCGGGCCTCACAAGGTCTTCTGGGATGGCAAGCTCGAGAACGAGGCCGAACTGGTGAAGGCTTTACATGAATTGGGCCTTATTCGGTGCGAGTAGCGTCGCGCTTTAAATATCTTTACAATTAATTATATATAAAGCGGCAAGAGCTGAAAGGATATTCCATTATTTGAGATTATGGTCGCGGAGGGCAGTAGTAGTGATTCTACTTTTATTGATCCCGGTTCTACTGCGCTGTGGCTGCCTGGATGGTGTTGCGGCTGGAATGCTGCCTAAATGCTGCCTAAACGATGCCGAGGTGCTACCGAGATCATTGATTTAAAGGCTCGCTTGACCAAAATAAACTCCTACCTCCCTAAATATTGTACCCTTCGCCTATAACGATCCTGCCATGAGCATCGATTTTTACTCTGTTGAAAGCTGTATCCAGCACTTCTTCGACACCTCAACTACAGTTACAAGGGCGGAATGTGATATGAAAGCCGCATCTCTTGTCGGTGGGTCAGTGACTCCAGTGCCTATACAGGGTGTATGGAGCTATACAGTCACTGGCGGCCCAGATCAGGCAGATATTGTGCAGTTCCGCGCGGAGCGATCCAAGCTGGATATGGCAAATATGAGAATCGCTGAGCTAGTTCACACAAAAGATGTTCCCAGGTGCAAGTATTACGGGCAAATCGGTAGCCAAAATCCTTTGTCTATCTACGTGATGGAGAAGCGTGATGGCGTATGTTATATCCAGACCAGGGACACTTCATGGGAGGGTAAGGCGGAATTTGAGATGCGGCAGTTCCGGACTGTTGGTGACCTTGCAAGGTAGGTTTATCTGCCAGTCACTCAAGGTAATAGTCATTTAACTGGATGGCAGGTTCTTCGCAGCAGCATGGCGGGGGGCGCAGGAAGTGTCTCCGTCTACTGTCAATAACTTGCACAAGGAATTTGAAAGTGATCTTAATCGACTATTTCAACGGCTTCCTGATCGTTTTTCGAAAACACTCAATCTGGTCCGCCAGAACCTGCCCAGAATCTTCACCCTTCCCTCCGTCATCACTCACGGTGACCTCAACGAAACCAACATTCTTGTTGATAATGCCGGCCATATTTCTGGCGTTATTGATTGGGCAGAGTCAAATATATACCCATTTGGGATGTCGCTATGGGCACTAGAGAACCTTCTTGGCTATATGGATAGCAATGGCTGGCATTACTATGGCAATGCTCAGGAGCTCAGAGATGAGTTTTGGCGAATCTTTGAGACTGACATTGGAGGCATTCAGGAGGATGTTAAGGTAAATATCCGTTTTGCAAGGATGACTGGATTATTCCTACGATATGGCTTTCATCAAGATGGGGCAGTAAGAGGAAAAGTAAGGGACACTGATGTTGCCCTTAGGTATGCTGATGCTTTTTGCACAGAAGGTATCTGAGAAGAGACAGCTTGGATTAACGGCAAGAGAGAGTAGTCAACTACTATATACGGGGACTTGACTTAGGTAGTATACTAATAATTGTTAAAAAATCTTAGACTAATAGCGTCCTGAACGGTTGATGGTAGAAAGTGGGCGGCTGAATATCCTTGGTCATCCATTGCGTCTACGTTTGAGTGCCGCTTAGCAGCAGTGCCCGCCTGTATTGCCAAATCCTCTTTAACAAGAACCCTAAGAACTGGTGACAGCACTATAAAACCCAGAGAACTTTCCCAATCCTGTGACTTGTTTTCTCGTCCGTCGAAATGAGAAATTATGCTTTCTGGGAACGGCCGAGTCCTCAAAGGCGTCTTGCTTCCCTGATTCATGCGAGGGACACGATAAGTGATGAGTGAAGATGACCATAACCAAATTCACCGTATCAGCGGCCTACCCGCACTTGTGGCCGTGTTAGAAACGAACAAGAAAGTGTGGCTTATTTAATAAGGAGATGAGGACATCGTCACTAGCATTGTGAGAAAGACTCCTAGCGCTTGACCTTGTCCTTCTGTTGCATGATATCCCAATGTTGCTTGACACCGTTCTCTGTGCGCTTCAATTTCTTTGCGATATAATAGTCCGATGGAGTGCCGTTGCTCTGCTGGGAGCGCTTGAGTCGTCTAAGAAGATCCTCTTCTCCTTTTGTCCATCTGCGACGTTGTATGCTTTTCTGCGACTGTGAGTTGCCAAGCTCGGCTTCGCTTTCGCTCTCACCAGGGCTGGAATATGTGCCTGAGAGAGTATTACTCCAGTCATCGCCTATTTCGTCCACGGCTACCTCTATGGTATCATGTATAGACTGGACGCTGATGTCTGCTGTCGGGTTATGTGATTGGACTGGGCGCAGCATGTCCAGTGCCCTCAAGATTGACTCCGCAGCGTTGCGAATCGATGAAATGATTTCTTCAGATGTATTCGATGTAAGTTTGCGTCGCTTCGGCGAATGGTAGGCTTCTGACCCAGAACGCTGAGAGTCACTGCTGGCGTCTTGTTCAGAAACTAATCGTTTTGTTGATGAGGGTATCTCAACTGGAACTAGCGTTTTCTTGAACAAGCCAGGCTCTGTGATACTCGGCTCTGTTGTGATGATGGGCAGTATACTAGCTGCTGCGGCAGCAACGGTGCGCAAATTCATGCCATCTAGGCTGACTTGTCTGTCGCTCGGGGCTGAGGACGAAGGCTCCTGAGACTCTGATGCTGCACTGTTCCCTCCAGATAGCGCAGCGTGGGATATAGCATCAGATACATCTAAATCAGCTATCTGGGGGCTAGTATCTTGCATGTTGTCTTTTCTGTGAATCAAGGCATCTTATAGTTGTCAGTGATATTCTTATAGTCTTTAATATGGATGTATATACCTTGATTTCTGCAAAATTGTTTTTGGCAATGTGGCAAGGTTGCTGAAGGTGTACTGATGCTCGGGACAGTTGATGGAGTGGTCTTCGTATCTGGTGACCAAGTATACTCGTCTGAACTGATCTCTTTATTGCCCCCTTCTTTAGAGGTATTGATATTATAAGCTTCTCGCTCAATGTTCAGCTCGGAGGTTAAAGGCATTGTGGCAGTTGCTGCTGGAAGCCTTTGTCTTAGCTCATCATCCTTATACCGAAAACCATGGCAGCTGAGATCCCGGCTTGTGTGTTGGGGGTCGATAGTAGAGCCTATAAGACGTTAGTAGTGGTCGTTTAGATCTAAAGTATAGGTTATCCTAACCAGCACCAGTTACTGGATTTTCTGATATAGGCAAACAGTAGTCCAACCATTCCTCTGTAGTAGGAAAATCAAAATAAGGGTTTTCATCTCTATTTGTGATAGCTGGAATAAATTTCTCGTTAATATGAGAACATCTATGGCCAGTAACTGAGGATAGTAGAGGGAGACTGCCAACACTTGTAGTGCTTGTCGGAGTAAGTGTGGAGCATGTTATTGAATGCTTTTTCTGTCTCTGCTTGGCTTGCTTGGGATGATAAGGCTTGAATCTGAGGTTCATCTTGAATAAATGAATGATGGTGTCCCTTATGTGAATGAATAAGGCACTCGATAATCACAAAGAAAAGAGTTTGTGAGAGGTTGAAAGGCCAGGTTAGGAGGAGACCTTCCATTTATACCCCGAGACCCAGCCTCTTGCCCGTCACGCTATTAGCGAAGCGGGAAGTGGATAAGCTGAAAAGTGCGGCTCGGGAAACACAGTTATGCCGAGATGAAATTTCGTTCGGAGTTTGTTGGATGTCTTGAATCATGGGATTGTTCCCCGCCCTTCTTGTCGCCAGTCTGTTGGTCAGATGTTATCCCAGGAAAGGATCGTATAACCGCCTTGGCCTCGTTGGCGTATACAACACGAGGCCAAAGATGATCAGGAGGCCATATGAATGAGTCTTTGTTGGCGAGATCAACCGGAAGCGAGCCCATCCGAAGGCTTATGTGGTGTGACGGCCGGGAGGCAGACCATGCTCGCCTCTCAGCTGCGTACACTTATGCTATGTGATGACCAGGAAGTAGGCCTCCGTAGTCTGTTGGTCAGATTGTCCGAAGCCGTTGCCGTCTCACGAGCAGGCATAATACGAGGCCAAAGATGATCATGAGGTCATCTGAATAACTCCTCATTGGCGAGATCAACCGGAAGCAAGCCCATCCGCACGCTTATGCAGCTTGATGGCCTTGGCCATTGCAGCTGCGGTCCAAGCTTGCAGAGAGTTAAGGCCAACAGTGACTCGAATTGCCATATCGAGTAAATAACTGTAACCAAATAATTCCCCTATTCCTGTTGAGGGAATTTCAGGAGATTCAGACCCGTGCGCTCGCTGCGTTGCGACTTCACACCGCATCGCCTAAAGTCCTTCGAGGCAGACTTGGATGCCGATACTTGATTAGGAAATTTCAGGAGGTCAATACCATGCCCTATGTTGCGACTTTACCACACCACCACTTTGATACTCTTCGAGGCAGACTCGAATTACCAAGTCGAGTAAAGTTCACGAGTATGCAATGCGCCCCCCCTTGCGCATTGACGTGTCTAGTCCATCCTCATGGCCCTTCAAGGTAAATGTCGGGAGGCCTGAATCGTCTCATGTATTGCAACCCGACCACGACACGTCATCTCAGTCATTGTGTCCGAAGCAGAGTTGCCTGAACTTCGAGGAGATTGGACCACGGCTTCCATCATTGGGTCAACACTCTGCAGCGAGGATCGGTATTCTTTATCCAAAAGGGGAAATTTGGGCGTGGCTGACAAACGCACTTCCGTTCATGATGCGGCCATTAGATGAATGCTGAGTACGGCCTCTAAGGCCTCCCTAGCGAGCCTCCCCTTAGAACGATCCATTCAGGCAGCCGCTCCACTGGAGAGCATAGCATAGCGACTCTGTTCGATGAAAGAAGTGTGCCGGGAGGCGGGATGCTAGTGTTTCTGATACCGCAAGAGGCAATTTTTATTACTCAGATTGGTAATTCGAGCGGTCTAGTGATGAAGGCAAGAGGCGGTTGGTGGAGGGGCGGAGTGGTTGCGAGACAGGTACTGTGTATGGGTGCCAGGAAAACAGGAAAAATTCCTGCGACTAAGTGAAAGTGCAAGAGGCCATAAATTATAGCCGCGAGTATGAAAGATGGGCTCTCTCTGGTCGTTGTGAAGTGGGTGCACAGAATGCTGTTTGCGCACAGCGAGACGAGATGTCGTTGTAGAGGGGACACGTGACGAGTGAGAAATGAAGGAGGCGGTTGACCGTCAAGAGACTTGAGAGGTACATTGCGCGACATGGTGGGCGGCTAGCCGCTTTATAGGCGCTGGAAAAGCGGCACCTGCTGGCGCGGCATGGAATTTCCAATTTGGGCAAGTGATGAGAACAGGGGTACAGGATGACAATTTCCTGATGTAGGCAAGCCGTGGCATAATATACTTTATTATATTTTACTTTATTATATTTTACTTATATAAATTATATAATATAGAACTTTACTATTTAATTTATAATAAAAAGTTTTTATTAACTATTTTAAAGAATTTAGGTATTATCTTATAGAAAGTAAATATTAAGTTAAGGTATATATAAATTATTAAAATATTTTATTGTGACGGTTGTAGGTTTTAAACAGGAAACTAGTCCGTATTAGGTTTTATGTTTGCAGAAACGTAAGGCGTGTATACTGAGCTTGACTTAGATATCATGTCTCTTAATGATTAAGTAATGCGTGTTAGGCTTATTGATATAAAGAAGTCTTATTAATAGCTGGTAAGCTAAGTTCTATCTAGTGCGAAATGAATGTATATATACTATGAGGTATGCAAGTCGAATGAGGTTAGTTCGACTTGGTTCGTCTTTGTTATATAGGTCAAACGAGGTCGGTTCGACTCTGTTCGTGGCAGTTAGTCCTGCAAGTCGAATGGCGTGCGTTTGATGTGTATAGGGTAAGCAGTTTCTGATTGGTGGAAAAAAGTGGGCTGCATATTCTCACGTGCGTCAGAATGTGTTGGGTCGTAATATTTATATTTTATAATTACCTATAAACTTAATTAATAATAATTATACTATATAGAATATTTATATAAATTTAACTTTATAATTATCTATAGAAAAGGATTAAAAAATAGAAAAGTAAATATAATTAATTAATAATTAGACTATAATATTAATACTATAAAAGTAAATAAATAAATATTAAAAAAAAATAAAAAAGGAGAATATATCTTTACTTAATAAATATAAACCTTAAAATAAATAAAAGCTAAAATAATTAAAGAAATCTTAAGAGAATTAAAAGAGTTTATATAAGAGTTTTATAAATACCTTATATATAGATATTAGAAAGTAATAAAAACTCTTAAATAACTTTTATAATATAAATATAAGATATAATAAATAATAATAAAAAAAGTAATTAAGTAATATAACCTATATATTAAAATAAAAGTATAATAATATAAGCTTTATAAAGAACTTTAATTACTGCCTATAGTATAATAACTATAGGACTTAATTATAATAGATTTTATTATAAAGTTATTACTATTTAAAAAACCTTTAATTAAAATCTTTTATAATAGTATTATAATTATTATAAACTAACTTATTAAGTTTTTATATTACCTACCCTATAGAAAAGATATAGATATAAAAGAATTTATATATATTATCTATAGATATATTATTAATATATATAGATTGCTAATTAAGATTATTTTAAATAGAGAATTAATACTTATATTAAGATTTTAAAATATACTTATAGTACTATTAGGTCTAAATTATAAGCTTATAATAGTATTTAAAGCCTAAATAGATAGATAAATAGAATAAATAAATTAAGTGCTAAAGTAATACCTATAATATTATATTAACTATAAGTAAGATAATTAAGTTAAAAGACTATTATATACTTAATTAATATATAATACTGCCTATAATAAAAGTATAAAGCTAATATTAATATATATTAATTTTAGATTTATATTAAAAGCCTATTAAAAGCTATAAAAACCTAAAATAATTAACCTAATAGTAATAATTAAAAGTAATAACTTAAAGAATTTATATAATAAACTTTAAGTAGAACTTAAATTTATTAGAAAATAGATATAATAATACTATAATCTTAAGAAGGTAAAGAGACCTACCTTTTTAAAGAGAGATATAGTTTACCTATCTATAAAAAATATTACTACTAAATAACTAAATTATAAATTTAACTTTAAGTATATTAAACTATATAAAATTATTAAAAAGGTCTTAAAAAATAACTATAAATTAGACCTATTACTAAAGGTTAAGATCTATCTTATTTTTTATATTTTACTACTTAAGTTAGCAGTAAATATAATTTATATTAAAATATATAATAAACCTATAAAAGTAAAAGGACTAAAGAGCTATAAAGTAAAGGTAATAAGGGAAATAAGAATAATTAATAAGAAAATAAAATATCTTATTAAATAAAAAAATTACCTAAAAAGTAAAAATATATAAAAATTACTAAAATACCTTATTAATACTTAATAACTTCTAAAGAATTTTTATTAATAATATTAAAAGAAGTAAAAGAATTAAATAATAAAAAAGTATTAAAAAACTTATTATTTAACTTTAATATTAATTAATTAATATTATTAGAAATATAATTTACCTAAAGATTATAAATTAATATATTTTTATATATATTTAAATTAAATAAGATTATATTTTAATTAATATCCTAAAGATTATAGTAGGTAGCTTTAGAATATTTTTCCTTTATATAAATATAAATCTTATAAATCTATAATAAATAACTAGCAGTAAGAGCTAAATAGGACTGTAATATAGCTATCTCTTTATAAAGCTTAAAAAAATCTTTATTTACTTAATTTTTATTATTCTTAAGTTTTTTCTCTTGCTTTATTAATATTATAACTAAAAGGAGGGTTAATAAAAGAAAAAAAAGAAGGAATAATAAATATATATAAAAAGAAGCTATATAGGTACTATTATAAGACTTCTTGGCTTAAATATACTTATTATAATAAGTAGAATTAGTAGATATAAAGTATTTATTGCTTTTATTTAAATAAAAGCAATAAATATAAAGTATATTAGCCTATTTATTTAAAAACTTAATAGTAAGTATAAAAGTTTAAATTTTATAATCCTTATAAGATAACTGCTTAAATATATAGTTAAATATTATAAAATATAATAATAAAAAGTTAAAGTTATAACTTACTAAAAAGGAAATAGTATTAGTTAAATAATAGGCCTTAAGGATAAAACTAATAGAGAGAGAAGATTATATTATAATTATAGTGCTTATGTTATAGATACCCTATAAATTCTTCCTATAACTATTAATTAAATTAAGACTAATACTTATAGGGCTAATAGCAATTTAAGACTGTATTACCTTAAAACCGATAATAACTTTACTTAATATTACTTCCTTATAACTATATTAAGTATATATAAATATATTTATTTAATAGTAAATAGAACTTAACTTACTAACTATTAATAAAGTATCTTTATATTAATAAGCCTAATATATATTACTTAATTATTAAGAGATATAATATTTTATAAGCTTAGTATTATGCCTTATATTATCTATAAATATAAACCTAATATAGATTAGTTTCCCTGTTTAAAACCCTAACTATTATATTAGGTTAAATAACTTACTGTTAAAGTGTATTAAATAATTAAAGTGCGGTTATAGGGGTTAATATAAAAGTAGCCTTTAAAGTAAGGTTATAAAAGAAAGATTTTAGCTAGCTAAAAAGTAAGTAAGGCTTTTTAGCTAAATTAAATATATTTAGGTTTAGGCTGTAATTAAGGTAGCTAATTTAATAATATTAACTTAATAAAGCTTTACTGCCTAAAAGGTAAAGAATATTTAAATTATAGTAGACTTTAGAGATACTTAAATACCTTTTAAGGCTAATATATAAACTTAAAAAAAGAAAATATTATAATATTCTATTAATTAATAAGTAGAACCTTCTATTCTATTTAACTCTATCTAGATATGTTAGATATAACTTATTATAGCAGAGACTTATATTTGTATGTAATTATAAGCTTGAATGGAAATTTATCTTCTTATAATTGAACTACTTAGTTCGGCTTGCAACGTGACTAAAAAGAATGTCCTTATATACATTTTATTAGCTGGGCAGTTGACTTTCCAACGCCTCCGCTAGATAAGGGCATTAGCCAATCGGGTGCCTGTCTTCTCTGCTTAGTGACTTGCGCCACTGAAAGTCCCTATAGGGTGGCACACGTTTTAACTTAATTAATTTAAGAAATTTAAGAAAATACTTTAAGGTCTATATATTTTATAGTATTAAATCTAAAAACCTTTTCTTATAGCTAAATATATATTAGCTTTATTTTAGTATTAATAAAATATAATTTATACTTTTTATAAATTAAGCTTGTAGATATATCTCTCTTTACTTTATTTATTTAAGTCTTATTTTACTAAATATATATTAAATTAAAAATAGTTATATAAAAGTCTATTTAAAATACTTTATTTTATTAAATGATTTAAGTTTTAGGCCTTTTATCTATATACCTTTATAAAAGATATTTAAAACTTTATATAATTATAAAATAGAAACTTTAAGGTTTTATATAATAAAGTAAAATAAGGGAATTTTATTAAAGGCTAAAATTAAAAGAAAGTAAATAATATTACCTTCTTATAATACTTAAAGGTAAAGTTTAAATAGACTTAATAAGTAATATATCAGTCCTATCAGCTAGATAATATAATCTTCTTTAGGCTTATAGACTGCAGTTAAGGGCTATTAACTAAATACGACGATATCGATTAAACTGGTCAATGGCAAAAGCCATAGCATCCGCCATGTTGCATTACTCGTGCCGTGTCAGAAACCGACGAATGATATCACACATACAGCCCTGTGTATCCAGACGTGCATGAGCTGAAATATTAGACATAACCTACCCCCCTTGTAGATGGCGAAATCTCAGTGCGTCAGTAGGCTTGTCGCGGTAAGGGAGTGACCTCTGTTAAAATACGAAGAGGGGAGATTTGGATAAGTTGATAGTGAAGAATAGATGCGGATATAAAACATCCCCTTCCTTGCAATCGTATTTAGTTGCTGCTGACAATAAACTTAACAGTAGCAAAATCACCAGTCCCGCCCTGCCTCTCAACAGTATACTCAGCGGAGTCAACACTGCAAGAATAAGAATTAGACCCGACATACGAGTTATCATAATCCAGCCTAACGATAGGCCCGTTATCACCGATCCTCCATTTCATCCAGCCCTCACATCCTGTCTGAAACCCGTCAGACTTCAAACTCCACTTTCCAGTATCGCCAGGCCCGATTGTATCCGGCGCATGGTCATCTCGGGTGCCGTGATCGACCCCAGAGTCAACCCAAGTCAATGTCTGCTGGGTATTGTTGACGAGAGAAGCGGCAATCGTGCGGGGGGACGGGGCGGCATCACTTATGACTGAACTGCCAACAGCCTTAACTACACTGCTGAAGCCATCACCGATGTCGTCAAAGATAGTCATTGTTTGAAGTTGTTCTTTTTGAAGGTGAGAGAGTTACATGCGGAAAAGGGGACGGACTTACTTACGTGAGGGTGTTTTAGGAGAAATTGATAGTGAAGCAGAGCTGAGTTGCGATCTCAATGTCAGAAGGATGGCCGGTTTATATACACAAAATCAGCAACCATGTGTTATCCTAAATCACACGCCAAGCAGCCGAGCGGTGTATACTCTCACAAGTTCAGCTGCAGCCATGGAAGCCTCATAGCATGTGCATATACAAATCGGGACATCCAGTTCAGTCCGGACTTCAATAGTCGCAAAATAAGCACGTTTTCTAATCGATAGCTTGAAGCTAGTCCAGATGCCACTGATTTGGACGCTTCTGGGCCTAGCGCCATGTCTTACCTGAGCTCTCCTCTTCAGCAAATAGTGCTTTAATGTAGACTCAAAACAGCCTTCGCCTGTTATTCATTGGAGATAAACGATTGTTAAAAGACTCAAAAGCCTCGAACATTCAATAGTGATGGCGCTATTGACAGCGTCGGGAGCTGTTGTTTATTTACTGGTGTGACAACATAGCTGCCGTTTCAGCTGGGTACAGCAAGCCACAGATTTCAGTTTAGTAGAATAATGAATCCAATGAAACGAACTTATTTAATGAATTTAATAAGCTATAGCTATAATTTCATTGAGTAATTATGTAGCGAATAAAGTAATAGTCGTTAGCAGAGACCTGTTAAAGTTAATATATATATAATTAAAATAAAAGGTTTTAGGACAAGTATAAAGGTTATAGATCTCAATATATAGTGGTTTAAAAGATACATCTTTTAGCCTGTACCAACAGATCTTAGTAAACAAGCCAATACCAGAGCCGGGCAGCTGCTTCAAGATCCCCAGGCAGTTGTTGTTCCACTTGTCATAGTGACAGCATCCGGTGTAATAATGCTCGTAGCTACATCAGTCTGCACAGTGGTGTAATACTGAGTAACCGTGAAACCCTCCGCATTCATGACAAAAACGGTATTATAATCCGTCTCAGCCACAGTATCAACATTCGTAACGAAAACCGTATTGTAGTTCGTAGTATCAACGACATTAGTATTGGTTACCAGAACAGTGTTGAAGTTCGTAACCGTGACAGTAACAGGCTTTATGACCGTCGCGCCATTATATTAAACCTAAAGTGTATTTTCTAACCTTATAATTAACTTATAAACTTAATACCGCTATAACCTTCTGATTTTCTTAAACCTTTATTTTAGTGGCACTAATATATACATTATTATAAAACTTTTTATTAAGCTTTTCTTATATATTAGTATTTCTTAATAAATCTAATAGCTATATACTATACTTAAAAGTCTATTTTAATAAATTACTATTTATACCTTAAATATAGATATAATTTAAGCCTTATTTTTCTAGATTAGCTATTTAGCTACTTTTTAAATTACCTTTTTTAATTTTAATAGCTTTTTTAATGCCTTTTTCTTTTATTAGGTAATTAAAATAACCTCTTTAAGAAATCCACTAAAGGCTACTATAAAAGTAATAGTTTTATAGTTAAAGAAAGCTAGCTAAATAAGGAAATTGCTATTAAGCTTATAGAAGTCCTATATATAGATTAATTATATAATAGCTTTATTATATTTCTTAAAGGGCTTATAGATATAATTACTTTATAAAGTCTTTTTATATATTAATATAGCTTAAAATATAATTATAGTTTTATTAATATAATTATTAATATCTGCTATTTAATAGGGTTTATATTAATAAAAGATTAATCTTATTAATATAAGAGATATTATCTTAAAGATTAAAGGTATTTATAATATTAAGCTAACCTTTTTTAGCTATAAGATTAAAGGTATATTTTTATATACCTTTAAGGCTAGCTAAAGAGTTATTATTTAGGTTTTCTTTTTATTAGTCTTATATTATAGTAATTAATTAGATATCTTAATATAATATCTAAATTATAAGCTAGAAGTGTTATTTGCCGCTAAAACCTGTGGCTAAGAGCTTAATCTGGCCGAGAGGAGATAGTAACTGTTGCGCTTTTTCGATTCGTTTGCGTTACAGTCTGAGACCCTGTTTTAATGGTTTTTGTAGAGCTGGTAGAAGTGCTAGTCTTTCGGTCTGTAACAAATGTGCTCTTGAGCTTATTGACAGAGAAAGTGTTGGTTCGGGTTTGTGTAGCTGTGATCGTCCTGGAGGCTTTGGCAGTGAAGGTTATGGTTGTTGGGGCAGAGGGACTGGCGATCAGGCATGAACATGCGCTGCTGACAGCGCTAGGAGCTTTGCTCGGTAGATAATCGGGTATCTGTACCACCTTCACTGCTCGTTTAGAAGGCTTAGGGAAGGTTAGTATTACTCGGTATGACTCTAGAGTTCGAGGTAGACTCACCTTGTTGGCGGAACCACATAACATGTCGTAAAATGTCCAGGGAGATGAAGCATCTGGTGTAACCGCAACACTCCTATTATCGAGATTAGTACTATAGACAAGCTAAGATGATGCCCGCCACTGATGAAAACTAGGTTGACTTACACTGTGCCATTATAACAGTCGCACTCAACAGAGTTGAAACTGAAGCTGGCGGCTTCCGAATCGCCCAAGCAAAAGTCTCGGCATACGCTGAAGCTCGGATTTCCGATAGATCGACCGGATCCCCCGCTCCAAAAGTTGTTGTCATCTCCATAACCAACGACGTTGCAGTGGACCTCCGCTAAGAGCATGTTAGTGCGGGCTCAGACGCGTTAGTGAGAGGAGAACTTACTATCAGGAACATACACGGTAGGAGTTGGTGCTCTATTATGCCTGTTAGTAAATTATAGGTTGAATTCCACATTCGTAGAGACTCACTCAACACTATACAAATTATGGTCAGTTAATCCTCCTTCATGGATTATGTCTGAAGAGTAGTAGCACTTACAAAGTGGAAATTGTGGTTGACGATGTCGTCAGAACATCGATAGTAGCAGCATCAGTAACATCCGTTGTGAGCGTCGTATCAACATCGACTGTAACAGTCGTAGTAACCCCAGTTGTTATCCTCTGAGTCACTTGCTCAACATCTGTCACAGCTACCTGAACTGCCTTAGTATTGGTGACTCTGCTCGTCGCTGTGTTCGTAAGAGTCTTTGTTGTAACATCAGTAACAAGTGCAGTGCTGGTTAGGGTTATTGTAGTTAAATCGGTCTTTGTAGCAGTGGTGACGGTCACGAGGAAGGTGGTGGTTCGGACAGTCGTGACACCAATGAGAGTAGTCGTGGTCACTGTGACTCTCGTCGAGGTACTGCGGACTATAGGGGTGATGGTAGTAGATACTGTCCTTTGGATGTAGCTCGAGCAGAAGGCGGATCCGTTGGCTTGGTTTTTCTTAAAGGCTTGGTTGTTGGGATCGCTGGCTTTGCAGACTAGAAAGAGTTGGCTGTTAGTTAACTTCGGCTGAGTCTTAGATTTATATACCTTCTCTTGGGCCAAGAAGGCTTCTCTTATCGAGCATCAAATCAGACAGTTGACCGTTGCTGTCGGCTGCTGGCAGCGCGCCCACTGTGCCGATAAACAACAGCGCCAGAACTTTCCTAAAGGAAACCATTTTCGCCTAACAAACAAAGACAGTTTTGTTGATAAAAGGGAGAAAAGGCTGAAGGAATAGTCCCATTAAGTATTGTAATTCTATTTAGCTTTTCTAGCTTGGAATATTTGCTCGTATATCATAACCTTCATTAGATCAATTGACCCAACGGTCTGGTTCTGTTCCGGCCTGGAATAAAGGAATTATTTTGGCCTAGCATCCACACAAGTGGCGTGACTTTGACCTGACTTAAGAAAATAGTCAACATGTCAGGAATGTTGAGGCGTTGACTAAGTCGTATCTAGTAATTCTTGAAGAGCTAAAACGGATTCTGATGAGGTGGAGATGTGTGACAGGTGTCTATCCTTCAACATGATGGAGAATCTGGGGGTTCTAGCGTGCTTCTATTGAAATGTTCTTATTCTCACTGGATGAAAAGGTACTTGGTCTATTCATGTCACCTAGTGGACTAATTCGCTGATGTGCCCTGACGTGATGCTAGAATCTTTCGGAAACAAGGGGATGTTATCGCTGACAATGGAGAATGCACTGAGATGTAATATCTACTATTGACTCTTAGAGATACATATAACAGAGCGGAGAACCGCTCAGGGTGTCAAGCGCATCATCGATGGTAATCTCAGCTGCATTGATCCCCATGTTCAGAGGATCAGACTTCAAAGCGTCCCGACTAGGAGGTCTGTTCCCAATAGTGATAGTGCCAGCTATATCACGGGCCTGCTTGGGATGCAGAGCCTGCCAGATCCAGTACACTCGATCAACCATAGCATGATGCAGAAAGAAAACAGGCTCATTAGACGAAGAGTAGAGGTCAGAGGAGTCACCACCAATGGCAAAATGCCCAGCGGCGTGCAAGCCCAAGAATCGATCTGGAAATCGGCCTTGAAACTCATCCTGCATGGCTTGAATACTATGTGAAGCATCGCCGAGCGTGACGTTGTACAGGTTAGGAAGAGTCATCCACTTATCAATCGCGTAGCGGCTGAGATCTCGACGGAGACAACGAGGGTTGTACTCGAGAGGTGTAGCAGTGGCTTCCATTCCGTCCATGCCGGGAGAGGGAGGTCCTAGGTTAGCGGTCGCGCCGGCGAAGGGACCTTTCTTAATACAGCCACCTCCATTACCGCTTGGGAGAAAAATAGCTCCTTGTCCAGAAACAGAGCCGTTGTGCTTAAAGAACTCGCCATCTCCGCTCATACTGGTCTCGGAACCGTCGAAGAGGGGATTAGTAGCATAGTCGCCGGTCTCAAACCAATTCCAGTACTATAGAAACCATAAGCTTATGTTCCATAGTTAAGAAGATTCACTCACTGGCTGGGTGCCTTTGTAGTCGCACTCATCTCGCAGAGCTTTTTCATAAGCCCAAGTATAGTAGCGATGCCAGGTGAAGAAGTTTCCCTTGAATAACTGTCAGCTATCGGTCGGTAACTCAAGAAGGACAAGAACGGACTGTTCCATGGATGGTGCGAGTCTGGTTGATATGCACAGCCACAAAATCGTCATATCTGTTGCGTGCCCCAGGTGCGAAAGACGGGTCGGCTTTGGAAGGTTTCTTTCGAAGACATAGTACGGCATTGATATAAGCCTTTCTCTCTTTTTTGGATAGTGCTTTCCTATACAGCTGTTAGTCACGGTTCAATGCATCTAGGAGGTAAACTTACCAATCCCGGCGCACGTCGGCATTGGCAATTGTGCACTTCTTGCGACTGGTTGGTGCCTGGGCCGTCTCTAGCGCACCGGTCGCTTTGCTGTTAAGCTCTAGCATGAGACCGCTAGCGGATTGAGTCGGCGAGGCCGCAACTAGCGACGATGCGCCCAACAAAGTAGCGAGTATCGTATAAGAGAGCTGCATGGTTTCGTAGCCCGTTTTCGTGCCTGGTCTTTGCAATGTCTCATTGGCAGGAATTTAGGGAAAGAGAGGGCAGCGAGGTGAGATTATAATATAAAAGTAAGCAGAAAAATACGGTCAAAAGTGTACTAGTCCATGGTCGTATAAATGTTAAGATAGAGAAAAAGTCCAAGGACCCTTGCCAAGGCCAAGTCGGAGCAAGCTTGATTCGTAGCGTTGCGCCGCATATCCCGCCCATCATTGCTGGAACCAGATTTTACAAGCCCTTGGCTCTGCAACCCTAGGGCGCAGGGTCCTGTAAGCACGCAAAAATCACCAGGTATCTTAGCCAGACACAATTGAGGCTAAAAAAGACAGATTGTATGGATGGAATATTCATTGCTCGGCATGGATCTACTGCTTATCATGGAAGCTAGCCCGTGAGTTTTCGTAAGGGCGAGCAATTGACAGGCAACGTGTTTGGTCACGATTTACCCAGATGCCCCTGGACATATGCATCTAAGATTTTAGGGTAACCAATAGCTAACCATTGTTGATTCGCAAATTCATGCCAACTATGGGGTAGTTCAATGTTCTTACGTTTAAACAGCCTTTTGCCTGCTCGTCTCGTATATGCACCCTGTATTGCTGACAATATGTTTGCTCTGTTTAATGGTCTATCAAGAATATGGCAGGTTGCTGCTCATAAGCTACTCAGATCAAATATGTAGTTGACGTCTAGCCATTTGTTTATCGTCGATGCTTGTTTCAAAAGAACAATCATTATCGAATTTGAAAGAGGTCAAAGCCAATTCCTAAGCCGGCTATGTAGCTCGCGTCTCTTAATATGACCAGGAACCTCAGAAATAAGCTTAATCATATTTTTAGACGCCCCACGTATCTTATGACGAAAAATTGATCGCTCAAGAAGTATGTCAGTTGGGGAACAAATCGATATGCAGCTACCGTTGATTGAAACTGTAGGCTGATTGAAAGCACAACTGGAGCCGATGCAGGACTCGATTATACCTGGACACTGAAGGGATGCCGTATCCTGGAATCTCCATGAGCTTCAGGCAGGTCCTTACACCAACCGCCACTTCATATCTTTGGTTCTGCTATAGTCGAAGAAGCTTGGCCATGCTACATTTCCGTTAGTCCAGATGATTAATTCAATGCTATCGGTCTAAGACAAGGTCGCATGAATGTCTGAACTTTTGGGCCAATTTCTCTGTACCCTCTCGGGCCGATTTGCCTACCATGCGTCTATTCATCTATCTTCAGACATGCTTACTTTCTGATCGCTCAACGCCCCGTACAAGGTCCAGAACCTCTGTTTGTGATCGCAATCAGCTTTGTTGGCATTATAGGTTCACTACCATGAAACTCTCTTCCTAATACGAAGATGTCATGCTTTCGCAGATAGAGGTCACTGAAGTCTGGTACTAAACAGTAACGTGACCCTCGTAATTTAGCAAATGACCTAGTCGCGGCGCTCATTCTTTGTGCTCGGAGCTAGAAGCTTGAAAATACTTAGCTAAGAATTCAGATCCAATATTGAGGTCAACTCTGACTGGCCAGCCTTACGAAGAGACCTTCAAGAAGTGGGTTTGTCAAGCACGTTCCCTTGGCACGGAGGACTGTGGGTCGACGTTGAAGAATTCAGCCCCATAAGGACGGAGGTGATAGCCTCATGGAGCTAAATAATCGTTTCAAGGGTTACATTGTTCCGAGTAAGCGAGAGGGCAGACGGATATTAATCATGTGATTGAAGGAATAAACAAATCAATCGATCGCCGTTTAAAACCTCTTGTTCTTTCGCCAATCCCCGTTGTGATATTGTTAAGCTTGAAACACGATGGCGGATACTACTTTGTCAGCCTTTCAGGGCACTTTAACGTCGCTGACAGCTCGAGACTGGATAGTAGCTCTCATATCTGCGTGGCTTTCTTTCAAGGTTTTGCAGGCATTTTATAACGTCTCGCCTCTTCATCCGCTTAGCAAGATCCCTGGTCCAAAACTCGCCGCGGCAACATATCTTCCCGAATTCTACCACGATGTCATCCTCGTCGGTCGCTACACCCACGCCATCAAGCAGATGCATGAGAAATATGGTACGTAAGCCTCGGAAAGTCGACGCAAAAGATGCTAATAGTATCTTAGGCCCCATTGTCCGCATCAATCCCAATGAGCTGCACTGTTCTGATATGTCCTTTTCGGATGAAATCTACGCCGTCGGCGGTCGCAAACGCGATAAGCCCTTCCACCAAGTCAATGGCTCAGCAGCTGGTACTGGAAATGCCTTTGGTACCCCTGATCACGATCTCCATCGCGCGAGACGTGCACCCGTCGCCAAGTTCTTCTCGCGAGCCATGATTGCGCGTCTTGAACAGGAAGTCCATGACCTGGCGCAAAAGCTCTGCAACAAGCTCTTAGCCGAGAACAAGGATGAAAAGGATCGCAAGCCGTTTGAAATCGCGCATGCATACAGCTGCTTTACATCTGATGCTATCTCAAGCTACTGCTTCGGCGAAGCTTTTGGGTTACTATCACGAAATCAGTGGCAGCCCAACTACCGCGAAGCTACTCTCGCTGTTCTCAAACCCGTGTTCTTCTTCCGCTTTTTTCCTATTCTTGTTTCTAGCGTGAAGCTAGGTAAATATTTTGTTGACATATTGCCGACTGATATTGCGCTTCTCATTCGAACTCTACAAATCGATATCCCATCGCGCGTTCAAAAGACGAAGAACGAGCTGGATGCAGGTATTGTCTATGATCGACCAACTATTTTCGCTGATTTGCTTCAATCTGAGCTTGATGATAGTGAGAAGAAGCAGGATCGTCTCGTTGAGGAGGCTGTTACTATCGTCAACGCTGGAACTGAAACAACGAGCTGGGCATTGGCTGTGATAACATACTTCCTCTTATCGCAGCCTGACACTTTTGCAAGGTTACAAAATGAATTGGAACAAGTTGTTGAAGATCCATGCCACTTGCCTTCTTGGACGACATTGGAACAGCTTCCATATCTCGGAGCGGTCATCAATGAAGGTCTGCGTCTATCCTATGGTGTTTCTAGCCGCACAGCTCGCGTGCCTACGACAGAAGACCTTACTTATAAGGGAGAGTTCAACAAGAAGCCGACGAGTTTGGTGCTGCCTCGGGGGTATGCAATTGGCATGTCGGCGGCAATCGCACACCACGATGAGTCTGTCTTCCCAGACTCGTATACCTTTGCTCCTGAACGATGGATCGATGAGGACAACAAGATCAGGAAGGATTTGGAGAGATCGATGATTGCGTTTTCTAAGGGCAGCCGTGGATGTCTTGGTAAAAAGTAAGATCTACTATTATTCCTCGAGATGGAGGCTTTACTAACATATTCTTAGTCTTGCGTTATGCGAGTTGTACCTCTCTCTCGCTGCTCTGGTTTTGCGGGTTATGCCCTGCATGCGTCTGTACGAGACAACGGAGCGAGATGTTCGCTATGACCATGACATGTTCATTCCGATGACGGAGAGTGGAAGCAAGGGAATCAGAGTAATCATCGAGAGCTAGATCACTCCCCCAACCTAATACGAATTACTATATCATACTTTGTTCGCTCTAGTCTGTACCTCGCGCTATCCTACCCGATCTGTACTAGCCTCGTTTTGCAGGGCTTACCATAGTGGGTAATCCCGAGTTCACAGCCACTCGCATTTGTCGCTATTAATCGCTTATCAGCTCGTTTCAAGCTAAGCTGCTGATGATCAGCTGCCGAAAATGCCGACAAGGCCTTTCAGAGATAGCATAGCTGCATTTCTAACGCTTAGGTGGAATTTCAGACGGAGTTCCTTGTGCGGCCTTGGCCAATCTGGCCTCGCTATTTGCTCCAGCTTTTGCCACCAGGCCTCCGATTCGAATGACTGACCGATTCAAGTTTAGCTCTCAAGGTGTCAGCTATGGCAAGATCCAGGTATAACTTGCATAACATATAAACGCTCGCACTTCAGTAGTCACTATTGATCAGTCTTATAGTAAATACCATCTTTCTTCTCTTCATAACATGGTTTCAAAGATGGATACTCGCGGCTACTCCTATCCTGACGCACCTCCGCCATACTCCAGTCTTGACACAACTACCCCAGCGAGAACATTCTCAGAGGCCAGCCAACCTCATATTCTACCCTCTCCAACGCCTGAACAACCTACACTTCCTCCATCAGAGAAGCCCATTGCCATCCCAGCAACAAGCTCTAAGCTTGGCTCACCATTCCTACGAGCCTTCCCACCTATCCTTGAAGACCAATACCATCTACCCCGAGAAGTCTTCCTCAGATTTCTCGATGATCTCAACCGTGCGGCCGTCGCTAGTCCGCCAGTCCAGATACTGGGACTGGCCGGCAGCATCGTATCAATGATACCGCTGCACACTGCACAAATCGTCGGTAGCTCGGTCAATGCGGCAGCTAGTCTTTCGACTTACGCCATAAGTAAATCTCGGAGTGAGCTCTGCATCAGCACGGCGAACAAAGAAATCTTCATGCCTAGAGATCTCAAAGCTGAGTTTGCGAAGCTGGATGTCGTTGCTCGACTTGCTCAGATGCCCATCCTCGACAACGAGGGGAAGATCGAGAAGAACAGCATGATTCTTGGACCATTGGAAGATGTTTCGTCTCAGGTTCCAGTTACTGTACAGCAACGCAGACTTCAGGCCCTTGAACCATGGATTGCACCACTGGATCTTACACCGTTACCTGATTTACATGTACCGGATAACTTTGTCAGCAAAATGCATGCCTCAACAAGTGAACGACAGCGAAAAAAGGAGGAAAAGAAAATGACCAAAGATAGATCCAAAGCACATGAGGATTGGACCGAGGATTCAAGAAAGGCTCGGGAGGATTATGAGAAGGAGATGCGAAAGATAGAAGAGGACTTCGCAAAGATTCAACGGAAACATGGAGATGAGCCTCGTAAGTTGGAGAAGGAGTTGAAGAAGCTGGATAAGGAGAGAGAGAAGTGTGAGAAAGAGTATGAGA